ATTTCACTTGTTTTTGTATTATGTATAATAACTTTATGTAATATTTTAATATAAATATTGTAGAGTAAATAAATAAAAATAATAAAATTACTAAAAGAACATAACCGAAGATATTGTTGGAAAGACAAATTCAGCCCAAATTTTTAGCCAAATATTCAATTTATTTAAAAGCATCCGGTACAATTACTTTATTCATTGCCTGTCTCGATACCTTCTCAATTTTTATTATAACAAAGTGTGTTACCTCTGTTAAAAAATACAATTAATATCAATTTATTACGATAAAGATTTCATTACCTCTATAAAAATAATAAATAAATAATTGGTTAATTAATTACGTATAACTTAAAATTTAAAATTTTAAAAATTAAATTTATCAATAATTTATTTATACAAATACAAATACAAATTTATTTCAAAAGATCAAGACTCACCAACATATTTTTCAATAATTTTATATATATATATGTATCCAATTTTAGTGTTTAAATTTTTATATTCAATTTATTTTCAACTACTTTTTTAACAATACTATCGGAAACCAAAAAATTATTCCGATAATATATTAATTCAAATTTATTTCAATCATTCACATTTTTAAATGCAACTAATTTTATAAATTCGAATCATTTTAATATTTCATAATATAAAAATTTATATAATTTTATTATATTTTATATAAATTAATATTTTAAAAATAAAATATAATATTACATAAAAAATATTACTATTATATATTATTAGATAATAAAAATATATAAAAATAAATAATTATGATGAATTTTATAAAAATGTAAAGGTAATAAGTAAAGTAATGATAATATAACGGGTGTTAAAATAAGTAATTTGAATGTTGGAGGAGAGTGATAGAAAAGGTAATGCACAAAAGACACTGACGGTAATGGATGCTCTAATGCAAAATTATTATTGTATATAAACTAATCAGTTCCTATTTTAATACAAAAATAAAATATATTTTTAATTTTGCAAGTGACACTTCTTTTATTTTGGGTCTTTTAAGTATTGATTGTACATAGATAATTATATACTCCATTCGTCCCCAATCTATCTATCAATTTGCTTTTTGCACGAAGTTTTAGAAATATTAGGATAAAGTAGAAATAAAGGTAAAAAGACTAAATTAACTCTATTAGTAGTGTATGATATAAAGGTAATGACATTTGTGTAATATATTGTAAATTAGAAGGGTATTTGTAATGTTAGGTAGATAGTACAATTACTAAAAAAGGAAACGGATACTTTGTTATGGGACGGGCCAAAATGAAAAAATGGATAGATTGTTAAGGGACGGAGGGAGTATGTAATTAGTAATAGTTGAAAAGAGTACTAAAATATTATTATGTGTGCTCATTTGAGAAGTTAAAAAGACTTGCTAATTAATAATTATTTTTATATAAAAATATCACATTCAATAGTTGTTATAAATAAAAAATAACAGCAACAACAACAATAATAATATGGTAAACTGTGTTTTTAGTTTTGTATCTAATTTCTTTATTATTTTTGCATTTTAAATGACCTTATCTGAAAATAATTTTGCATGTATAAAATTTTCGCTAAAATAATTTTCGGTGTCAGATTCACTGTGCTGGTCCTCCGTTGCTAGCGTGGTACTGACGCGACTAGCATGTCATTGCCACGTCAGTGACAACATTTTGGCCAAAAATTTTTACTTTGGGGACTGTTTTCAAACAATGTTTATCTACAATCCTAAAATGATAAATGAAGTTAGATATGAAATTAAACAGTTTATTAAGGCAATTTGTAAAATAAAAAATAAATAAAAATTTTCATGTGTCGTTGATGTGGCATTGACACGGCGATGACATGTCAGTCGCGTCAACGTCACGTCAGCAAAAGAGGACCAATATGGCAAATTCGGCACCGAACGACCATTTTAGCAAAAGACAAATTACTTGCGAAAATATTTTCAGACATAGTTCATTTAGAGTTGTAAAATAATACTCCATCCGTCCACGGACAAAGTAAATATTTACTTTTGGCGTGATGTTTAAGAAATAATAATATATTAATTATAGGGGTAGTTAAGAATAGTGTAATTACATTTTTGTTTTTACTATTTAGTGTAAAAGTAATGATGTAATGTAATGATGTAATGTAAAGTAAAAGTATTTGTGGAAAAAAATGAAATATGTAATGAAATATTTACTTTATAATTAAATGTTTTAAAATAAAAATATGTATACTTTTTAGTTGGAGAAAAAAAAAATAAATTAAATACGACATTAAAAAAATAGGTTTAATAATAATAATAATAATAATAATAATAGGGGAATGTAGGATCACATGAGGGTGAGGGTGGTCCACATAAGCCCGTGAGCGGCTTACCCTTTCTAATTAGGGACACGTGGCGGCCGGTGGTTGGCATTAATTGGCTGTTTGTGTGGTGTGGTTGCCTGATTTAAACAATTCGACAACTCACATGTGATTCCAAAATTAGATACTTTATGTTTTATTTTTTATTTTTTATTTTTATTTATTTCATATAATTTATTATTTTTTAAAAAAATTTTAATTATACACTTTAATCTCATTTTAAATTTTATAATTTTTTAATTATAATTAAACTATTTAGTTATTTTAATCTTAATCTACAATTATTTTTACTATACAATAATTATTTTTACTAATACATTTATTAATTACTTACTAATTACATTTTGCCTAAATTTTCGTATCTACAATAACGCGCTCATATTACATGGGACGGAAGGAGCATCTTTGATATATAAGTGTTTTTACGTTCTGATTTAATATTTTGTAAGAAAAAATAATATAATTTATATTAAAATTACAAGGATTACATATATTTTTTTTTTTTAAAAAAAAGAAATTAAACCCCAATAAACACAAAACGAATTGAGTTTTTATCATTTTCTCCAAGAATATGTTGATTCTTTGGTCCAAATAATTAGAGTACTTTTAGTGGTGTTGTAAAGTTATTTTGGTAAATAATAGTAAAAAAAAAAATGGTCGATATGATATATTAAATAGAAAATAATTTTAATGTAATATTTTAATTAAAAAAAAATCAATTTGCTGCTTTTCATATATTGTAAATATAAATATTGGATGTAATACTTTTTTTCAGAATACATTGACAAATTTCTAATAATAATCATATGTATCTAAAAGGTAATATCAATATGATAATCCTATCAAATAAATTTATGACCGTAAAATTATAAATTTAATCAGAGTATATTATTTAAATACGATGATAAGATAAGATTATTAAAATCATAACGCTAACTTTCATAACCCAAAGTAAAAATTGACCGAAATATAAAATAATACCGGCACTCCAAAGAACAATAGTATCATCAGGGGCGGATCCACCTTTGGTGGAACGGTGACACGTGTCACCAGTGATTTTATTATATCAAAACAAATATTTTATAATTTAATAATGTGCTACCACTAAAATATTGTAGTGCCCTCGTTTAAAATTTAAAATTGTATTATTATCTAAAAAAATGAGGTGGATTATTTAAAATTTAAATTTTAAAATATCATCAACACCCAAATAATTAAAATTCAATCCAATTAAAATAATTAAATTATATTCTAAAACATAAATATACAAAATAATATTACTTTATTATTATTTTTTAACAAATCGACTCTTGTAATTTATTTTATTTTTAAGTTTATATATTGTGCAACCAGTAAAATAAAAATTTCTAAATCTGCCGCTAAGTTTCTTGTCGGCTCCATAGACACGGGTGTGCTAGGAAACTTTTTAACCTTAAGATTACTGGTTCTAATTTTGCTAATGTCTTCTCGATCTAAATTGTCACACAAGACTTACCTAATACTCCCTCTGTCCAATTACAAAATAAACATTTCATTAAATACCTTACTTTTTTCCACAAATACCCTTACTTTACATCACATCATTACTTTTACACCAAAAAACAAGGGCAAACATGTCATTACACTACTTTTAACTACCCACGCCAAAAGTAATTGTATACTTTACGAGTGGACGGAGGGAGTATAACTTATTCAATTGGTATAAATTTTCTTTTGATAGTATTGACTTGTATGGCACTATTTATTTATTTTATAAAATTAACAAGTCCTCAAAAATCATAAAATTAACATTTAATAGTATATTAAAAAATTAATTTTTTATTCAAAATTTTATACTACATCCCACCACAATTGACACTATTTTCATTTTTGTCTGTCCCGTTGTTCTCTACAACATGATATCTGTATTGCATATATTTTTTAATTGATATATAATTTTTAAATATTTGAACATATATTTTAATTTTTTTAATCATATATATTAAATTTACTTTAAAATTATAAATATTATTAATTATACAAAAAATAATATAATAATATCATAACTAATTATTATTAACTAATTAAACATCGTCACCTTAAATATCGTATCCCTAATCAAAAGGTTCAATTCCGGTGGGACAAAGGGAGTATAAAATATAAATACCTATTTATACTGTATCAAACATTAGTTCAATTCTAAACCAAAATTTGTATATGAAGTGAGCTTTTATATTTGGAAGCGTGACATTAGATCATTCAATCTTTGATTGCATATAAAAATTATTTACTTATAGGACCAATATATATATATATATACAAAGAATAATAGTGCAAAAAAAACAAAAGTTAATAGGATGTATTAGTTTGAATGATTTTATTTTATTTCTACTATTTAAAAAAAAATTCTCTAAAAAAATATTACATTTCATATAATTCTAAAAATTTATTTTAAATTCAAAACTTCACACCAAACAACTATTTAAATTTAAATTTTTATTATTCAAATGAAACCTAAAAATCAAAACCCCACATCAAATTTTTGTGCATTTACTTATTTCATTCTCATGTGACATAAATTACTTTCTCCAAAAAAATATTAATTATTCACATAAAAACTTAAATACAAAACCTCATAAAACACCAAAACACAAAAGTATTCATAGTAGCAAACTCTACATAGATCATCAAAAAAAGATGAAAATAATGATGATCAGCAATAATCAAATCAACCACAGTTGTTCTAAATCCTATTCTCTCGACAAAAACCGATCGAACGACCATCCATTCGAGCGCACAAACATGCATACAATGCTAGCTAAGATCACGTAGCCCAAACAACGATGAAATTCAGTCGAGAAAATTACTAATAGTCGAAAAATTCCAATCATATTGACCAGTTTCTAAATAAACAAATCGATACAACTACTCACTAGTTATAAGGAGACGAGAACATGAGCAAACAACGATAATCTATCCTCATTAGCCACCAAAGAGCTTCCTAAACATCGCGTTCTTTTAAAACATCGAACATGACGACGTCTAGCTAACAAAAATTACCTTCTACTCCAAAAACTCGAGAAGGTTAGATCCCGGGATATGATTTAAGAAAAACGAGGAGAACGTACATAAGGGCGAAAAATGTACATGACATAGGATTAAATGCACAAGGTTTTAACAATATACGTCAACATTTCACCTATAATTGTTGGTTTCATATATACGTACATGCTCCCCGGAAGTATTAAGAGCTGCTCAAACGACCGTATTATGGTATACTTTAACCATGACCTGCGTAATCGAAATGTCTTGTCAGCACATATAGTGAAAGCCTAAAATTAAATAAATAAAACAATGAGACAGATTTAAAGTTTTTGCAAGAAATGATTATCTGTAAGATCATGTACTCTTGGGTCAGGGGGGGAGTCCTGTTCGATCTGTGTTATTTTAGATTCATCGCTGCAGCCATGTTTCTCAGCTTCTGTGAAATTTCTGTGAATGACGGCCTCTGCGCTGGATCGGCAGCCCAACAACTTTCCATCAATGCCTTCCACTCGGGATCACACCATGTTGGAATTTGTGGGCGCAATGTGTTGCTCACAATCCCCCCTGCACGTGATTTTTCGAGATAGTTTTTACCAAGATGGGTATAAAGTAGTCGAACAATGCGATTTACATGGTGAGAGATAAATTATATTCCCTCCGTCCCAATTCAAAAGTATCATTTTTACTATTTTCGTTTGTCCAACTTCAAAAGTATCTATTTTCTATTTTAGTAAAAGTAATTATATACTGATACCAAAATACCATTAAGTTTTACTTAAATTACAAACATACAATTACAAATACAATTATTTTATACATAAAGTCAAATGACAAAAATGTCAAAACCTTGTACACACTTCCATTAACCAATAAATTTATATTATTTCTTAATTTACTACAAAATTCCAAAGGGGTACATTCAAAAGGGACGGAGGGAGTACTATATGGAAAATTATGGGGGATTACTTGTATATTTCATTCTTGCAAGGCTATTTTTTTTATCTTTTTACTCGCACCCTTATAATTCTTACAAAATATTAATTTTACATAAAAAAAACATCACATCTAATGAGTCTTACCCCCAAAAATTAAAACACAAGCATATGAAAAAAAGAAACCCCAAATTTCAGACGAGGTAATTTCCGTTTAACCAAAAGGAACGAAAAGGAGTGTTAAGCCGAAAGTTACTTTCAGAATTTTGATGCTCTTACCGATTATAGAAGCACAGTGCCTATCGGCATATGGCTCGTCACCAGTAAGCAACTCCCACATGACAATCCCAAATGAATACACATCAATCTGGAATCCATAAATAGAAATTAACATCGAGAATACACATCAACCTGGCATCCGAAAATTGAAATAAACATTGACAGAGGTGGGGCTGATCGGTACCTTCTCTGTTACCATGTTACTCTTTCCACTAAGGAGTTCGGGAGCCATCCATGGTAATGTCCCACGGACACCCCCTGACACTAGAGTATGTTGTTTCACCTTCGACAATCCAAGATCACCAATCTAGAGTTCCATTTAACGAAACCAGAAAAAGTTAGTTCTCCAGAAAGACCAATCACTCAAAGAAAATAACATATCAAATGAATCGTATAGAAAGTGTTAACTTTATAGTTTACACATATAGGTTAGATAGAGTTATATTGTGATAGAATGATTAGACTTCTAATTGTATATATATATATGTTTATCCTCACTTATGGTAAATATGAAATATCCTGCTCTTGATTCTAACATGACTTGGGAACAGAACATCACTACTTGCCATGTTTCTTTTTATTGGAATGCTCAGTAAGGCTTTCAGAGTTTATTAAGGCGGATCGGGTCATTAGGTTGGGTTATTTGATTAGGGTTGCAACTGCATGTGATTTCTTTATCTGTGTTTCTGGATTTTGATGCTGCAAATCAACTGATTCCATTTCTGCTTCATTACCTCCACATCCACTCATTGCTGCCTCTTAACTTGCCGCCAGCCACCAAATTCTTTTTGGACTGCAATCAATTTTGATTGCTTTGGTTTATCAGATTAATGATGGCCGCTAGCAATCGATTCTGGCAAATCATTGGATTCTATTCCAGTTATGCACAACTCACAGAGAATAGATAAATAGTTCCAACTATCTTGGTTGGAGTATTACAGTCGGGGGGAGGGGGGTGCATTTTTGAAGTACTAATAAAGATGGCCACCTTGCTTTAGATCCCCATCCGCAGCAATCTTGGATTTGGGATGGTGCTGAACAATTTGTTCAAATGCGAAATTTTATTGAGCAAGACATTATGAGTTTAGTTTATCACTACAAATTTATGAAAGCTTTGATTAATTATCTGGAGTTTATGAATTTGGGCAAGATGATGTGGCCCAGATTCTGTTGCTCAGTTTGTAAATCATTTGACTGGGGAGCAACAAGATCAGCAATATATGAAGGCCGGAACTCTCATTTCTGTTAGTATAAACATCAGAAATATGCATCAACAACCTTAATAGACAGCCGTTATCAGTTTCCTCAATGATTTGCAGTTGCAGATTCTAACGGAAGTTTCTATTCCATTATTCTTTCTCTTTAAGACATTGTCCAGATTGCTATGCACGGAGGAGCTTCAGCCCTCTTTTTTGATTGCTCAAACTAGTGCCTTCTTTGTGGTCGGGAAATTCTTGTGGTACCCCTCAGGGCTCATAGAGCGGTTCTAGTGGTGGTCAGACTTCTCATTCTCCAATCTTGAATGCTCTACTATAATGAATTTGGATACACTAAACATATGCCAATAGTTGATTGGCAAACCTCTGCTAGGGATAGGTAATCTTAACCTTCTTTCCACTATAAGAACCACTCCAATATCCACCAAGGTTGCAACTGCAGACAGTCCTCACTTTTATGTTCTTAGTTCTAGAACTACTGATCTCAGTCCTTATCTTTCTTTAAATTATGTGTTAAGTGCACCCAATTTGTCATTTGACTTATCATCTGTGAGTTAATTCACTCGATCCTTACAATTGCTGTCTTTTTGTTTCTTAATCATTTGTGTTTTTCAAGATCTAATGATGAAGCAGATCATTAATAAAGGATTTGAATCTCATGGCAGTCTTAGGGCCTCACTCCTTCATGTGTTCCACAAAATCCTCCCAATTTGAAATGTGCTGTCATTTGGGCCATCCTTCCCCTATCTTTCTTAAGAAGTTGTCCCAAACTCCCAATTTTCTAGTATCATATCTTTACATTGTGATTCTTGTCAATTCACTAAACAATCCCGAACACATTTGAGTTCTAAACTCCTATGCAGGATGTTTCTTCCTTTTGATTTAGTTCATTCTATTGTTTGGGTCCATGTCCTGTTGTCTAAACTTTGCTTCCAATAGTTTGTTACATTTATCGATAATTTCGTTCTAGGTTCTTTCAACACTTTATTTCACTTTTGCACTGAAATTCAAACTCAGTTGGGTGTCACCATCCGTACACTTATTCTAGATAACTGTAAGGAGTGCATGTCTTACCAATTTCAGTCATTAATACTTTACCATCGCATCTCACATTGAATTGCTCGCCTCAAAGCCCATCTCATTGCTAAGAGTTATGCTCAAGTTTACATTACTGACTATTTTGAGACTCTCTTGTGGCCAAATTAACCTCAATCCACCTGCTTATATCCATTGCAGCCACTTATAATTGACTTCTTCTTCAGTTAGATATAAAAAATGCCTTCCTCCATGTCTACTGTTTATTAAGTAAATCTGGAGTAACCGTCCAGCTTTGTTGCTCAAGAAGAGTATGGAAAAGGTTATCATACTCATGAATCACTATATGGACTAAATCTCAGAGAAAACTACTAAGGAAGATCTCCAATCTTGAATGGCTAACTATCATAGTTTTTTGTCTTATTTGTGCAAAAACTGGTGTTCCAACTATTTCTATATTTTTATCCCTTCTTGGTTCCCATTTGGAAGCATCTTTAACTTTACGGGGTAACTCACTTGGCATGACCTCCAAATTGGGAAGGTCTTATTCACGAATGGATACAACTCAACCCAAATTCACCATTCATGAAATCTAGGCCAAACTTTGCAAAGAATAATTATGGGCTCGAAGCAACAACAAAGAGTTCTCCTCGAATGAGATCATCTTCAGCAGATACCACTTGGTAGGAGAATTGAGCAAAATTCCAAACGATTATCGATTACCTTTCTAGCTATATACTACATGAAGTTACCACCTTCAATCTAAAATCTAAATATAAAAGACTAGTAACATATAGATCAGGTGTCTCCAAATAAAGGAGGGTGGTAAATAAATACTAACAGCTCGGCCGATGGTAAGCCCAATCCAATAGGCATATGTAGCGCTACCAAGGATCACCACCAGTAAGTTGATATTCAAATCGATAGGTGATAAGCATTGTAGATATCTACAAATCATATAGGGTGTGTTTACTTGTGAGATTTTGGTTTTTGGTTTTGGTTTTGAATTGAAATAGTTGTTTGATGTGATATAAATATGTATTGATTTGATGCTTTGAATGTAAAATTTAATTTTAGTGTAATATAATAAATAAAAAATAGGTATTTGATTTGATTCTTTTGGGGTGAAAAAAAAGTTAGAATAGTAAAACGGAAAAACAAATCTCTAAAAATTCTTGCTATCAACCAATTACTGGGCCATCTTGTTCAAGATCAGATCAGAGCTCTACATCGAATTATACTGGAATGGGACACAAAAATGCCGATGGCTTTCGCAAATGCCCAAGCATGCAAGCTCAACTTCAATATAAATAAGTTAAGGCTCGTCGTACTTAGATGCCCAACTATCACTTTATACCACTTCCTAAAAGTGACAACAATCAGGCTGACCTCCTTAACAAAGCAAGTAGGAAATCAAGAGGTCTTTGTCGCTTGGCTATAAGGCTCCTTAACTAGTGACCTTAAACTACTATAGATCTAACATGCTTCAGTTTTTTGTTATTAAATCCATACAGCTAAGATTTTGTCTCATGTCTAATAAAAATCTCCTTCCTAGGGTAAAAAAAATAATTCATATGCATGTCCTATTTTACATGCAGCAAAAACGTTATAAATAACTAAAGTTGAAGTTCAGCCATACCTACCTTGCACACGGGACGATGAGGGTCTCTCATATTAACCAGCAAATTTTCACATTTCAGGTCAAAATGGACAATATTCTTCCCATGTAAGTACTCCATACCAAATGCAGTGTCCATTGCAATTATGAGTCGCTTTCGCCTATCAATTGTTCTGTTCAAATATACGCAGATATTAATAATCAGGGTTGTGCATATAAGGCAGGAAGGGTGCAGAATAACACCTGTCCTTTTTCTGCAGGAATTGTTTCAAAGATCCATTAACCATGAATTCTGTCACGGTTGCCAAAGATCCATCTGGGCCGTCACGAACTACTCCATAAAATGATACAACATTTGGATGATGCAATGAACTTAGAGTCAGGGCTTCCTTCCAGAAATCAGCAATCTATACAACAGGAAAGTAACATCAAAATTCGGTGTTGATGATGAGACCAAAACAATGTCGTAATCCATTGAGAGAAAAATAGAAAGAAGTATAAAATGGAACCATAGAAAGGACATGTTCTAAATCAGTAGGGATGATATGTGTTAAAGGAAGGTTTTGATTCTATTGAAATTTTAAAAGCATCTCATTATTATTATTTTTGTTATTATTATTATTACGAAACTTTTAGATAGAAATGGTAATAGTGTTCTGTTCAGACTTCAGAGGCATAGCTGACTAGCATTTCCTGCTAAGTCCTATCAGAACGGCTATAAGGCTGAAAATGTAGTGCACAACTAACCTCCTACTCTCCCTTTTTTAAGTGCAGATGCTATTAAAAGCACTGCCACGACTCTTGAGAATACAAGACATTATAGAGGAAGATTCCATTGAGTTAAAAATGTCATTCCAAGTGCAAGTGTCTACTTTTACTCATTTAGTTTCATTGCAATTTTAGAATACCCACTATTGTGTCATAAAAAACTACTTGTAAAGAGCTTAATACCCACATAATTCTCATTAACGAAAAGAACATGTAGTGTATAATTAATTTGTAGAAAAATGTTAAGAAATGAATGTGCTCAAATGATCACAGATGTCACAGACCGCCATCTGCCAACCAATTCATCTCAGAATTATTAACTTCCACTCATCTTCATTCTTGCTTTCCACTTACAAATATAGCTGTGTGCCCAAATAATGGAAAGAAAAACAAACGACAAACAATTACATCCAATAGAGGACTAAAAGATAATTAGACCCAACTATCAGGTCTTTAGGATACTAAAGAAAAACAATAAAGTAATAGGATATTAATAAATAAATAAGTAAAAAAACCCATTTGAGCTTTCGTTTGGTAAATCATACAATCCAATCTGTGCGCCTTTACCATTTTCAAGTTGATTCTTTAAATTTGAAGGATACCACTGCGTAGATAACTTTCGTGACGTAGACAACAATTATTATTGAATTAAATCATTTAACCTGTATTCTAGGAAAAGTAGAATTCTCTGAACATCAATCAGATATGAAATACAAATACACATTATCATGCTTAAATTAGACAGTGATACTTGTGCTTTGATCCAGCGGAACACACTCTAAAATTATCAGTGTAACTGAACTTAAAAGACGAAAGACAAAAAACCAAAAAATGTACATACCAAACGTTCTCTTTCAGATGGCTTTCCAGCAAAACAGCTGGCTTTTATTCTTTTAATTGCCACATCAGATCCCTTCCACTTGCCATGGAATACAGAGCCGTATGTCCCAGAACCTAACTCACGAATTTCCTCCAGGTCTTCATTTTTTATTGTCTAAAAAGAATAATCGAATATAAATTACAAATGGAACATATTGGAAAACAACAAACCCAACAAATATGAATCTCTTATTGAAAGTATTGTATAGCATGGCATGAAATCATGACCAAATGTAACATGGACTCAAGAATCAAGATGAGAACCTGCAATCCTCTTTCAAGTGCTTCTGCCTCGGCTTTTGTCAGCTCTATCTCTGAGTGGTCAACATCATTATCATTATCCAACTCCAAGTCAGCATTGGTGTCCTATCAGAACAGAAAGATACGTCAAGAATGTGTAAAAAAACCTCACAATAATTTGCAAACATCATTCTCACCACTCCGTCTTTGTTATTTTCAACATTCTCTATAGCAGCGTCTTTTTGTTCACTGTCCAAACCAGTTTCTTGTTGAACTTTATCTTTCACTTCTTTCAAATTCTCCACAGCCTTCTCTTTAACAGATTCTATTAGTTCAGGCAAGAAATCAAGTTCAACATTCGGTTGCTTTTGAGAAATGCTAGGAGTAACTTCATGGACTTTTAGAGAATCACTGTTGTCATCAACGGCTTCTGGAGCATTTGACTTTATAGAGGCTGAAGATGCTGCATCATCTGACCGCTTATCAACATTTTCGATGACAGGAGAACTTTTGCCCACTGTTCCATTACTTTTCTCATCTCCCCCTTCTAATGAATGGTTCTCATTCACCCTCACTGACATAGTAGATTCAGTATCATTCCTAGAGCCCGCCTCAGGATCAATCACATTCGAACATTTATCATCAATTAATAATGTTGGAACAGACATAGGCAGAGAATTTCCTGAAATGGAAGGCCGAAGTGGGGAAGCTGTTGATTGAATGGGTTCAACTTGTTGCGGATGGTGACCCTCCAAAGCAACGGGTGCAAATTTTCCAAGGGTAAGAGAATAATCCATTGCCGGTGATCCATCAAAGGCCAGAGGTTTCTGCAACGACTCTCCCCAAGGATTCTGATTCTCCAAGACTGGTCTCACGGTGGAATTAACCTCAACTGCACCTCGGATGAATCCCACAGGGACAGACCCATTAACTAGCTGATTCGAAACAGGTGTGTCATAAGAGGGACCACCGGGCATGGGGCTATGAGGATTTCTCCATACAGGTGCTGAATGAATATGTCCATGAGGCCCCTGGAATGCATATGCAGGATTTCCATATCGAATGCCTCCACGATCTTCCACAGATGGCGGATGAACCTGTGATCCAGGTGCCAAAGCTTGTTCTTGAAAATTTTGACTGCCAAACTCAACCCCAGGACGAGTAAACCGTGGATTATCGTGATGCATATAATGGGATTGCACATGGAGACCATCGCAAGCATTAACATGTCCCAGTGGAATGTTGATGCCGTTCTCCACAATGTAACCATCAGGCAACCTTCCAGATACAGATATATGTCGTATAGGCTCCTGATCAGCCCAAGGACTTGGCGGAGGATGCGGTGACACCCATCCTCTTTCCTGACCATGAAGCTCAGTATACAAGGATCGAGGATCATTTTGGTCCCTGTAATAGTACTGAGGAGGCAAATTGGAATCTGAGTTCAACAAGTATGCTTCTCGGTTTGGGGGGCACTCGGCGCAAGCACTCGAAGCATGAAGATATCCATTCCCCGCATTTGATGGCTCCACATGTGGCTGATCACCGGGCTTCCAAGAAGAATCGGGATAAACTGGATTACGTTGATATGGCATCCGGCAATGGTCGCAGACACTGCTGTTTCCCTCATAAACATTGGGTGCTTGAAGAATGTTCCCTGGAAAACCAGCCTTTTCATTGACCACACAAACAGGTGGAGCCAATGCCAAATTGTCTGTGTACGGCGCCGGATGCTCGTACAAGGAATGAGCATTGATTGAAGACCGATTATAATCCTCAGTATACGGCATTTGATATCGGGAAGATGAAGGCGAAGTCGAAAACTCTAAAACATGCCTCTGATCTACATTTCCGTGCTGTCTAGGAGAATAATAAGCCGGACTCCATGGAGCCTCCATTTCATTATACCTCTGATTAACGGCCTGCTGGAGCTGTCCTGAATCCAGATGTGGAATCGTCAGGTTTCCTAAATTCATCTGGTTAAAGTACTGCTCGGCAGCATGGATATCATCAAAGGAACCCATTCCAGGAGACTCATTAAGACTATTCAGTGCGTCGACATACCTCCTTTCGTTTTCCCTTTCATCTCCATCTCCAAAATGTAATAAGCAACCATCTTGTTCGGGATGCGCAAACAGAAACAACCTCAACCTAGTAAATCCATCACCAGTTCCCGATTTTTCGTACTCCTCCATCATATTTGCGACATCATCATCATTCACAACGGATACAAGTGCATCTAGATCCTCATCAGGCTGCTGGTATTTCAATACAGAAGCTCCCTCAAAAAGCTCCCTCATCTTCGCCATGAGGTCCTCATACCGAATGTCGCGAGGGACGCTCACAATTCGTGTCTCGCCTCCTACATATCTAAGCTTCCCATCTTGGGGACGAGGCAGTATTGTACCAGAAAAACTACAAAGGAATTTAACTCGTTGAGATTCATCACTGGCATTCGGATCGAATCCCGGGACTGCCACAGAGGTATCCATTAATTGCACCGCTTCCTCCTGTTGCTGATCAACTTGGGTCAGATTCTTCACCCCGCCATGAAAGTCACACATTGGACGTTCATCCCCATTGGATTTTTGCCAAGAATCGTCTGTTCTCAATCCCTCATTCGGTCATTCCTCTCAAAGCATCGTACGCTATACACATAGTTTCATCTCAATCAGTTCATCAGAATTATAGAATCACAAGGCTTAAAATGAGAAGGGCAAACAAAAAAAAAAAAAAAAAAAATCATCGACAGACCAATCTAATTGAAAACAGAAACAACAAAAGCCCAATCGCCAGAATCATTAATTAATTCGTCATTTTGAGCCAAACCACAAACTAATTGATTGATTGATTAAATCCCTGAAAAATAAAATCAGAGAAAGTGAAAATTGCGCGGTGGGATTGATTACCTGAAAATGGGGATTCTGACGAACCCTAATTTGTTCCCGTTTCAAACCACAAATTACGAAACCTTACAGATCCATCGTAACCTAATCCGAAGAACAAAAAAGGGTGGGGGTGGGGGCGGGGGCTATTCCAATCCTTGTTCCTTCCTGTCCAAAAATTAGGAAGCTTTGCGCGTCGAGTATGGCAATCACGCAATTGCAAGCAAATAGGTTATTAGATAACTTTGGACACGTTGGGGCGTTTGAGATCAGAGAGTGTGCGTTTGTTCAAGAGGTGTACTTTCCATTTTTGCATTACATCTCTATTTCTTTTTCTTTTTTTTTTCTATTTTTTCTTTTACATACATAAGTTGGAAGAATATTCTTAATATATTCTATTTTAGTTTTTTCATTGGGTATGTTTGAATAGGTGGCGTTTCATTCTAGTTTTCTTTTTTTTTTTTTAACTAGCTAAAAATCGATTAATATAAAAAATAATATTTTTACTAAATTTATTATTTTTTTAATATAATAAAGTATAAATATTACTCTCTCTTCGTCCCGAATGAGTTGTATTGTTTTTTATTTTTGTTTGGGTCAACATAAATTTGAAAAGATTAATAAAAAATATATTTACATTATTATGTACTATTATGTAGTTTTAGCAGTTTAAAAACACTTATAATTTTATTATATTTAAACAAATTTTTTTATAAAAATATGTTTTTATAATGATTCATTCAAACATAAAATTGAATTGTTTATTCCTTCTCTCTGTTCCTTAACTTGATTTTTCTATTTTGGTTTTTTTATATATTACACAAATGTAATTACCTTTATATTATACAATACTAATAAAGTTAGTTTTGTCTTTTTACCTTTATTTCTACTACATCTCAATATAATACTAATATTTCTAACACTCCTTGCAAAAAGTATATTGATATATAAATATAAGACGAAATGAGTACTTTTTTTCTATTTTCTTTTTAAAAGTCAAATCAATCTGTTCATAATCAAAAGAAAACACCAATAAATAAAAATATGATTAGTTGCTCTCAACAAGCTAAATTTATTCCATTCATGTATGTTACTGAATTTTGCTAAGTTTGGTGTGAAACAAAATTTCAAATGCCTTAAAATTTATGTGATATTATTATGTCTATTATCTTACTTAGGAACTGAACATATACAATGAACATTTGGGTACTGAACATATACAATGAACATTTGGGTGTGTTTGTTTGGGGGATTGGATTAGATTTCTACTATTCGTCCAATTTTTTTTTTCCACAAATATCAAATCAAATACCTATTTTTCATTTTTTATATTATAGTAAAAATCAGTTTTACATTCAAAACATTACATCAACATCTATTTATATCACATCATACAACTATTCAAATTCAAAATTTTTATTATTCAAATCCCAACTCAAAATCCAAACCCGCAGACAAACACACCCAAAGTACACTTCAAACTCATAGCTAGTATAGGCAGGTGCGGATCTAATCCAGTTAACACATATAATTAAGGCAAACATCACATGTTTGACGACGCATATATAATTCTGTATAATACATAGTTTGATAGCATATGATATAATTTTACATAACATAATATATATATTGTTGGTTTAAGTACAATAAACATATTTATACAGTACAATACATATATAAAATTGCACAATAGATTCTTCTATATGGTATGACTATATATAAAATTATTTGATATATTTTTTTTAATTATATGTGTTGACTGGGTCAAATCGACACGATATTAATTTGATTCAATCAGTTCTCTAACCACTGTATTAGACCATCCGCAATGGAGATACCCGCTTTTGGGTATCTCCACTACTTTTTGTTATCTACGTCACTTTCTCTCTCTGTCACGTCGGCGGAGATACTCTCTTTTATTTTATATTCGCAACAAAGATACTCATCCTAATTTTTTAATAAATTTTTATTTTCATATTAAATATATATAATTTTTAAATTATACTTTTAATTTTTAGTATTAATTATTATATTATATTATATTATATTATTATTTGTCAATATTTCGATTGATTAAAAAATTATGGAAAAAAAATTATATTATTTATGATTTAATTAAATTTAGTTTTAATTTATTTTTAAATTTTAATTTTAATATCAAATTTGTATTTTTATTGTTATAATTATTATTGGTTAATTAAAAAATAAAATATAAAAATAATTAATTAAATTTTTTGAAGAAAAAATAAAATAATATTTGTATTTATATATTTTAAATTTCAAATTGATAAAATATATTCAATATTGGTATTATTTTGTAGAATACAAAATATTATGAATTATAAAAATACTATAAAATTTAAATATAACAATAAATTCAATATAAATTAAAAAATAAAATATATATAATATATATTATATATACATATATATACATACATAAGTGTCATCTGTCCCAATCAATGGAATCACATCTTCCCAGTATCTCTGCTTGGAAGCACGGTTCTATTAATTTTTTTTAAAAAAAAAAAAAAATGATAATGTGGCGGAGGAGATGCGCCGTTGCGGATGCTCCGCAATCGGTGCAATGCAGAGATGCTTGAAAGAAGTTTGCATTTTTGTCATGTCTCATTTTAATTGAAACAGATAACGTATACATATGATATGTTCATTATATATGCATATAAATTGTTTTCCTAATTTATATTAAATATATTATTATACTTTATATTTATAATATTTTTATTATTATAAAATATTATATTATTCAAAATAATACTAATATTAAATACTATATATTTTAAAATATATAAATACAAATATTATTTAGGATGTGTTTTTTTGGAAGAAAACATATATATTTTTTCAAAAAAATATAATATATTATATATATGCATTATATTTAAATTATTTGCACAAATTTTTATATTTTACATAAAAAAAAATATCTTTTCAAATTATTTTTCTAAAAAATATACCTTTAATTTTATTAAACATATTAATATTACAAATAATTGTTCTGATAATAAAAAATTAAATTAAATTAGATAAATTATTGTTGTAATAAGTTATTAAATTAAAATATTGACAAATAATAATAACAATAATTTTTTAATTAATTATGAAATAAAAATATAAGTTTAAAAAACACAATATATATAAATATAAAAGTAAAAAATTTAAGATGAATTTGTTTGTTGTTTATATACAATAGAAAATAATATATCCACTTATGTGGCAAAGAGAAGAGTAATGTGGAGAGTTTCATAAATTGTTGTTTGAGTTTCAAATGAATAGGCAAAATGTAATTAAGAACAACAAAGAAGATATTAGTTATTTAAATTATTTTTTAAAAAAGTTAAAAGAGTAACATGACCTCATTAATATTTATAATTAGATCAAAATTTGTGGGTTATGTTCTTAATAAGTTGAAATGAATTTGATGGGCGTATGTGGGTAAAAAAATATAAAGTAATCTGTTTTTTCAGTTTCATATCCGACTTTTTTTTTTATGATTAGTTTAGAACTTTAAATAAATCATATTTGAAAATAGTTATGTAAATAAATTTTTTTCACTAAAATGATCTTCTAGTACTGGATTCGCCACGTTGGCCCGCCATTGATGATATAACTCTGACGTGACTGACATGTCATTTCCACATCGGCGCCACGTCAGCGACATGTGAAATTATTTTATTTTTCTAATTTTACAAAATTTAAAATTGAATTTTACAAGTTGATCCAATGTTGACCAAAGTCAACATCACAATTTAAATTTTTTATAAAAAATATAACTCCGTCCCATAAGAAAAGTACCATGAACTTTTTGAGTGTTGATCTTTGAATATTAATTATTATATCAATAGTATAAATCAAGAGAAAAATACCAAAATATCTTTAATAGTCTCTTATAATAAAAAAATACAATGACATTTGTGAAGTAAATTATACAAGGGTAATGTGATACCCCGGAGTTTGGTCGTTGCTTTGACCAACTCCCGTGTATAAATGGGTCAGTGCCAGGGCATACGAGGTTGAATAGTAATTAAATTGATTGAATAGACTATTCATGTCAACAATGTGCACATTCTTTTTCGGGAGCCCTACTGAAAAAATTATAGAATTAAGTGTGTTTGTCCTACAGTAATTTAAGGATGGGTGACCTCAGTTTGCAATCCCGACACCCAAACGTGCTTACTCTAAAGTAATTTGAGGATGAGTGTTGAAACAATGTGCACATTCCTTTTTCCAGTGAGGACAGAAGCGTGTTGAAAAGACTCGTATTGACTTATAGGCCAGTCTACGATCCTAACATGCTTGGCTTTGCATGACTTGCAGGCCGAGGTGTCACAAGTAAAATTATTTTTTTACTCTCGTATCTGACCCCCTTTATCATTTTAGAAATTTAAGTAGACCTTATCTGAAAATAGTTCCGTAAGTAAATTTTCGCTAAATGGTCCTCCAGTGCCGGGGACTAGCAACGCTAGCCCTCCGTTGCTGATGTGGTACTGACACGGCTGACATGTCATTGCCACGTAAATGCTACGTTGGAGGATCATTTAAGCGAAAAAAATTTATTTGCAGAACTATTTTTAGACAAAGTACATTTAAAGTCCTAAAGATGATAAATTAGGTCATATACGAGACTAAAAAAATTGTTTACCAAGATATTTTGTAAAATAATAAAAAAAAAATCATGTGTCGTTACGTGACATCTACGTGGCGATGACATGTCAGCCGTGTCAGCGCCACGTCAGCAGCGACGGGCCAATGTGGCGAGTCCGACACCGGATGACCATTTTAACGAAATTTTTTTATTTACGAGACTATTTTCAGATATGGTCTACTTAAAATCCTAAAATGATAAAAGAGGTACTAAAAAAAAGTTTATCCATTATACAAATATAAGGATATTTTTAATGTTAAATACAATGATGCAAAAGACAAATGATGTTCTTTATATGTGACGGAGATAATAATAATTTTTCTTAAAAAAAATGCATGTGTTGCTGACGTGAAGATAATATGTCAGTCGCGTCAGTGCTACTTCAGCAACGGCGGAACATCATGGCGAATATAGCACCGGATGACTATTTTAGTGAAAAAAATTTATTTACAAAACTATTTTCAAATATAGTCCATTTAAAATACTAAAATGATAAAATGATAGATACAATAACTTTAAAAATGAAATCATATGATTAATCAATTAAGAATTTAATTAATTATTGATCAAGATTGTGTTAAGCATTTTACAGATTTATTATTTATCAACTATATTTTGTAAATTGTGGA